CCTGTCCAGCTGGCTCTAGCCCGGGTCTGACGTGCTGAACACGCCAGTGCCTTCTGCTTTGGTAGGGAGCTTTTTCCCAGGTTCAAAGCCAGATGGAAATGGCAAGCTCAAGAGGAAACAGAATTCTGTGAGCTCTGACTGCCTTTCTTTAACTTGAAATAAGACTTCCAATAATAAAATGTAAGTCAAATTTATTTTTCTCTTTTTTTTTTTTTTTGAAATAAGGTCTCTGTCAGGCTGGCCTTGAACCCCCTATGGAATTAAGGTTGACCTTGAACCCCTGATCTTCCTCTGTCCACCTCCTTGGGAATAAAAGGATTCTTATGGCTTGTTATTGAACCATTATCTGTTTTTGGCCACTCTTAATTTGGCAAACAGTTTACTTATTAAGAAAAATGGCAATTTCTTGGACATTTGTCACACTGGACACTGTCGATGTAGTTTCTGGAGTTTTAGAAAGACAAGTGTGATTGTGTGCCTGCAGGCACACTGTGTGTGCAGTCGTGTGCGTGTCTGTTGTGTGTGTGGATGTGGGTCAGGCGAGCACACGCTTGCTGGGCTACTCTCTTCTCTCTGGGTTCCCTCCGCTGCCTGCAGGCGGCTCAGCCCTCAGAGCTCCCGCCCCTGGGACCTCCTCTAAGCCTCCTCCAGCCTGTGCAGCAGTGGTCCATGCTCACAGATGGAGGGTTGCCATGGCAGCAGCTGAGTACCACCTCCTTGGTGACAGCCATCAGAGTGCTCCCCCGAGCACAGTTTGTACAGACTGTGGGCGGAGAGGAGAGCGCTCCGCCAGCGCAGGCGCATGCTTGGGCCACTCCAGAGCCTGTGGGCGTGCGCTCCCCGCTGGCGCTGATTTTAGAGGGGTGTGCTGAGCTCAAGAAAGCGCTCACCCAGGACCCTCCTGGGAAAGAGAGCATCATGGTTGTGAAGGATGGGAAGACAGAGAGACCCAACCTGGCAAGCCCAGCTGTGCCTTCAGCACGAGACCTCACTCGACCTGGTCGCTTGCTGGACTGGGCTCAGAGATGTGCAGACACCCATGCACGCTCGAGGCGTCTCACGGCGTCTCATGGCAAAGTGTTCTAGGCATTTGCTCCCAGGCATCAGACTCCAGTGAAGTCAGGCAGAGAGTCAGTGGTGGATGGGGCTCACACGGGGCGCTGCTCAAGGATGACAGCAAGAGCTGACCTTTGGCAGCTCTGTTAGGGAAAGTGTGTGGATGCTTTGACCTCCTTGGGGTTCACATCAGCTGCAGGGCACGTTCCAGTGGGGCAGCTCTGAGGCTTGCCTAACAGAGGAGACAGGATCAACTACCCAGAAAGGTGACCGATATCCTGTAACTTCCTGTGCTCGCAGCAGTGTGAGGTCTCTAAGTGACTGACTTCCTCTCCTCACAGGAGTGTGAGGTCTCTAAGTGACTGACTTCCTGTGCTCACAGCAGTGTGAGGTCTCTAAGTGACTGACTTCCTGTCCTCACAGGAGTGTGAGTTCTCTAAGTGACTGACTTCCTGTGCTCACAGCAGTGTGAGGCTCTAAGTGACTGACTTCCTGTGCTCGCAGCAGTGTGAGGTCTCTAAGTGACTGACTTCCTGTCCTCACCGCAGTGTGAGGTCTCTAAATGAGAATTTCTCAGGTGTGAAGAATTTGGTGTCTAATGAAAAAAGAAACACAAACATTAGTGCTAACACTGATAACAATCACTCTGGAGAAATCAGAACTTCCGGGGAGTCCCTTCAACTCTCTCCACTCGCTTTAGTGGTTTATTGGATTTACATGTGGGTGGGCTCCCGGTTCCTAACAGATTCCAAAGGTCTAAATTCACTCCTGACCCGGGAAGTGCTCTGCAGAGCTGAGAATGCCTCCCATGTACTCTTGAAATTCAGCGTCCTCAGAAGACACATCTACGTGTAAGAAGCGGCCCCTCCTCGGGACACTCATTCAGGGAGGCCTCAGCGGGTTGGCATGGGGGGGCCTGTGGACTGCCCAGCCCAGCACGGGCGGTGTCGCTCATGTCCCTCTCACAGGCAGGGGCACCGAGAGAGCTATGACGGTCTGAGGGGGTGCCCTTCCTTCTCTGAGAACACTGATGGAGACCGGGAGGGGCCGGCTGCACGGCTGGCTGGAATCGGGGGCGCTGGCCCCAGCTGGCCCGTTACTTGTGTTTTATGACTGCATCTAGCACTGGAAAGCTCTGAAGGGCCTTGCGCCTCCCTTCGGGTCTGATCTCAGACTCCTGGAGTCTTGGGGGCCTCGTGCTCCTTTGGATGGACACACTGAGCACTGTTTGGGTTTTAGAAGCTCTGGCGGTCGCCATGTTTATCTTGCTCGTGCTTGTCGGCAGCAGGCATTTACACTGCCTGAGCACAACAGCCCCTCGTGTTCTTAGAAAGATCGCCGCGTTGACATCGCAGTTTTGGTGGTGAGTGCTCATACAGTGGGCCCTGAGCCCCGGTCTGGGGATGGGCAGTTATATGCAGGAACCTGTGTGCCTCTGAACCTGAGACCTGCTGGCTCTGTGGCTACCATTTCTGCCAACCACACGCACTTCAGGAGCCACAGCTAGGGGCAGGGGCTCTAAAAACATCACAGATGCATTTCATCCAAGCCTCCGGGCTCCACCAGCAGGCGGCCACCGAGAGCCTGGCTTCCCCCCCCTGTGGGCTGCCCCACGGACCCTGGCGCCTGAGGCTTTCTTCGCTAAGGCAACGAGGCCAGGCAGACCTTTGGCTCCTTTTACGATTATTTCTGTTTCATGTGTTGGACTTGGAGGCTGTGTGACCTCGTCACTTCTTGCCAGAGGCTGAGGAGTCAGAGGCCTGTGCACCGTCTGTGGCAGACACCGTCACGCACGCAGCCTGGGATGTGCGTCTATCATTGTCAACAGCGCAACGTACAAAAACGTCACCAAGTCTTTCCTCTCCCACCTAATTTCCTGGAAAACATTCGTAAGACACACACACACACACACACACACACACACACTCTCTCTCTCTCTCTCTCTCTCTCTCTCTCAAATAGAACTGTTAAGATAAAGACCCAAATTTGGCTGACTGAGAAATGGTTCCTTAGAACAAAAGTAAATCAAATCTGTGACTCTAAACAGTGCCACATCTAAAACTCCACGGCCGAGATTTGGTCTGTTTTGTCTTTGCCGACAGCCTCGTCCCCCCCGTCTGCTTCCCCCCAGCTCACAGAGACCTCGAGTTCCCAGAGCACAGCCCATCAGTGTGTTGGACCTGAGGGCGGCTCGGGCCTCCCACCACACAGCTCAGCCGTCTAGAGGGAGCAGCAAGCGTGTGGGGCGGGTGTGCACTGGGCGCTCCTCCACGCCTCAGCCCCGAGATGGAGTGCACACCCGGTCTGCAGCCCCCAAAGGCCGTGGGCGCAGAGAAGCCACGTCCAGCTGACGGGCCGGGCCCCTCCACTGCTGTACAGCGCATAATGAGGAGTTTTACTCCAGCTCGGTGGGCGCCGAGGCCCAGAGGCGAGGGAGGGAAGGAAATGCCGCACTCTGGGAGCCGCCGGCTCGAGATCTACCCTCAAACACAGCATGTTTTCCTGGAGCAGCTCTGCGCATGACTCCAGGAGATTCCGGCTGGGAAAGGAGGTCTTCTCTGACCTTCCCAGAAGCCTGTGAGGGTAGTTTAACCCTGACAGCCCCGCCCCACAGGGTGGCTAATTAACAGCCCCGCCCCCACACAGTGGCAGTATTATGTAGCAATAGCACACACGTTTGCCAGCCAGGCAGTCCTCTTGTGCTCGCTCAGCTCCGCTAGCAGAGTCGGCAGCCATAGGCTACGCGTGCACAGACGTGTGCTGCGTTCCAGTCAAACTATGTACGCACCAAGATTTGAACTGTCATTATCTCTTGAGACAGGGTCTCTTGTAGCTCAGGCTAATCCCAAACTCTGTACGCTGCTGAGGATGACCTCGAACTTCTGACCTACCTGCCCCCACTTCTGAAATGCTATACTAGGTGTGTGCTTACTATGCAGTGCTGGGGCCAAACCTGGGGCTTTCTACCAACCAAGTTCCATTCTGGGCTCCCGAGATTTGAATCCTCTATGTCCCCAAGTCTTCTCGATTTGTTTTCCTCCCAAGTGTTTATAAATGTAAAAATTAGTGTCGGCACATTAGACTCTCTTAGCAGGCTGGTGTGCCAAACATTTTCATAATAAAAACATCCCGTGCTGACAGCCTTGTGACCTGGATTTGGGACTAGGATCTGGAGCTTTGTCGAGGCCAATTTGCCCAAACTCGACACCTCCTATTGTAAAGATGCCGACCATAGTGCTGAGCCTCTCCTGGTGGCCTAGAGCACCCCAAGATGACTGGGGGAGTGTTCTGAGTTTACAGTGGCAGGTGAAAGCCTGTTTGATTGTTACGTCTGCACAGTCAAAGCTGCACATCTTGTCCGAACCTCAGCAGCCTCCGACAGTCTCAGGGTCTACAGAACCTTCTGAATCAACAGTCCCCCCTGAAAGGCTGTGGGCGCACACATTGGGAAGAGGGATGCTTTATTCTAAAGTAAAAGGTAACAGTTTCTTAAGTGCAGTTTGGACATAAAGTCTAACTCAAGAAAATGTTACTTGAGTCTGCTGTAGTATCAATCAATCTGTTATGTAAATGTTGCTATGTTTTTCAGCTTTGTGGCTACCCATTGAAATAGAGTCACAGAAGTGACATTGTGTAAGGCTGGTCGCTGTATGGGTCTGAAGTCAGGAAAGGAAATGAAAACTTGACTCTTGGGAAGTCTCTCAGAGGTGAGTGACTATGTTTTCACGGCTTCAGCTAAAGGATCTGGCATCTTCCCAGTGTGCTCACGGATCTTCAAAGGAAATGAAAACTTGACTCTTGGGAAGTCTCTCAGAGGTGAGTGACTATGTTTTCACGGCTTCAGCTAAAGGATCTGGCATCTTCCCAGTGTGCTCACGGATCTTCAAAGCGTCTGCACACTCCATCTTGCACACCTCAGTCAGTCTCCAAACACTCCAAGATACCATTTTAAATCCAAACAGAAAAGCAACAGGTAGGGGAAGAAAGCAAGAAACTTGAACTCTGGGCTTTAAAATGAAGCCATAATTAAACTTTAAATTAGCGTATAATGAAAAAAACAGGCACATCAGAGTCCTATTTTGGTTAATTAAACCTGTAAGAGAAAAAAGTTGTGCTTACGAAATAGGTCAACACTTTGATACAGTTCTTTTAGGGAACTAATTAAATCAGTGAGTCTAGACCTAGAGAGAACAGAGAGGGGCAGAGAGAAAGGGAGTAGAGGAGAAGAGACTTCAACCTCGTGGACACGGAGTCACGACCCCACCCCAACACGATATTTAGAAGGAGCTGGAGGGGATGAGCCAATTCTAACCAGTTAACACGGGCATGCCGTGTGCCCAGGAGACCCAGGGTAAACAGCTGTAGCAATCACACGAAACCAGTGTGTAAATAAATGAACAGATGCTCTTCCTACCAGGGAGCCAGTGAGGGAGTGGGTATCAGTTGAACAAGGACTGTGAGGCTCTTTTCAGCTCCACCCTTCCAGACAAACCTTCTCTTTCCTCACAGAGCTAATGTGCTCTTGGGATCAACCATAGTGACTGTCACCCTTGAGTTAGAGGTTCTTATCTGGCCCATGGATCCCACTGTGCTTTATGGGAAAGATGACTCAGAGACACCACACAAGCAGCCCAAAACATCAAAGAGAGAGGGAAGAGGAGGGGGAGAAAGAGAGAGGGGGAGAAGGGGGAGAGAGACAGAGACAGAGAGAGATGCAGAGAGACAGAAACAGAGAGATGCAGAGGGAAACAGAGAGAGGCGGAGAGACACAGAGAGAGAATCAGAGAGATGCAGAGGAAACACAGAGAGACGGAGAGACGGAGAGACGGAGAGACGGAGATCTCTCCCCAGCGGTTATGGGTCTCGGTGTGCTAATGGGCTTATGTAGTTGCACTTGCTCCCCTGGTGGAGATGCCGTGGAGGGAGGGGCTAGAAAGGAGGCATGGGGGGGGGCTCCTTTGCTGAGTTACCTTAATGAAAAACCCCATTGACTACTTGCTGATTAGAAAATTCAGACATAAGACCTTTCAAATTTTAACAGTTGACACAAAATACACTGTTAAACCATTTTCTCAGGAACTGTAGAAAAATAGACGTGTTTGATAAGGACATTCTAATAAAAGGTCCTTTAGGAATGCCTTCCTTTAAAGGTTTTGAGCTCATGTAACAAACAGGCTTTTAGTTTTGCTCACATCACCGACCACAGTGACATGGAGAACAGAAAGTCAGGGGTCAGAGAGGACCTCAGAGCACCCTGTTGAGGTCACAACATGGCTGTGGGAGTGACACAGGTGCCGGCCAGACCTATTGTCCAGCTGAAGAGCAGGCAGGAAGCCACCAACTTCAGAGCTGCTCTTTCCACCCATCAACGGACATCTTTTGTCCTGTAAGCCTCAGTAATAGATTTAAAAAGGCCGAGTGAGTCTTCAAGAGCTAAGTGAGCAGGTAATTCGCAGGCCTTCTCCATCTTGTTCTGTGTTACACACCCTGCCCTGGGCTGCTGCAGCATGGTGCCCCAAAGCAGGGTGTCTTTCATAAGGCTAAAACAAGGTCAGGCCATGAGACCTCCTGGAGCCTCTGGGAACTGTGTCAGGCCCTCCTCTTCCATCTCCTGCTAAGAGTGCAGGGAGTGAGTGCAAGGCTCCCCTGGTAAATAGCCAAAGCCAAAAGGGAATGCTGCAGGCAAGGAAGGGCTACAGCCAACAGCTTTGTTCTCCAGAATCAGCGGCAAGAATTGGTTGTCTGCGTGGCAAGATCTCTGCGGAGGGAGAGGAGAGACCCAGGTGTTGGATGGAGGAGCCACTTCCCATATTCCTGGGGCATCTCTCTTATAGACAAGGTCCCTGGACTACAGCAAAGTCCTGTGCAGTCTGGTCAGGGGCCGCAAGAGAAACAGGGGAAGAGCTAGTTTGACCTCTTTGACTTTGATGGTGCAGAGTCTCAAACTGAGCACATCTGCAGGGGCTGAAATAAACTGAGATCCATTTGATGCATACTTCTGGTGGGCAATGGTGTTAAAGAACAGTTTGTAAATGCAAAATCAACGAGAAACATCGGCTACAGTGCAAAATCTCCACCTGCCCCTAGGTCTCACTGAAGAGTCTCTCTCCAGTCTTATTTTTCACTTCCTTTTGAATTTAGATTATTACACGTGCTGCCTGCCTTCCTTCGTTTGTTCCTTCCCTCCTTCTTTCAAGATTAAAATGAGATAGAGAGAGCTGTTTGACTGTTGTTGACATTTGTGCTCTTGACTGAGAGACATGTGCATTAGATTTTCAAACAGTGTCTCACTCCCACATTCTGGAGAGATTTGTCAGTTGCCACAAAGACTGTTATCTACACTTTGTACACCAAATTCTGGTCATTTCATGATAAATAACAGCAATGATGACAGAAGATAAAAAAAGAAATCCCAGTGTAAGAAATGGTAAGGATAGGCCCTTAGGGTCAGGGCTGCCAGATGGAGAGAGGGGCCGGAAGCCGGTGGAGTGAGCCTGTCATTTCACCCACTGTATGCCTTCCTGGAAGCCATGGCTTCCCCCCAAGGGTTGTTCTGTCACTCGACAGCTCTCATGAAAAGGCCATAGTTTCTCATGATTAGATAGAAGAGCAATCAATGGTTCAACAGAAAGGTTTCTTAAATTGCTCTACTCCAAGTTCACGAGAAGTGTCCTGTGGGGCTGTGCCAGAGGCCTGGTGCTGGTCCCTCCCAGGCTGGCCAGAGAGACCCTTATTATCTAGAAACAAATGACACCGATTTTGTAAATATGTCACAGTATATCAGGGTTTTGGATAGTAGATCTTGCCATGTGTTAGACCTCCAGACTGTCCCCAGACCTATGGCTTGTTAGAGTCAAGAGAAGAATGACAAGGGAACAGAGAGGTACCCCCAGCAACGGTCCATTTCGGGGCTCGAACAAAGGCCATGCATGCAGAGGGCCATCTGTCAAGGGGGTCAAAATAATCAGAAGACTCAGATATCAAAGCAGAAATGCTACTGTACATTGGGAGTCTTTTTTCTTCCTATTTCTAAAGTTATTATCTAAAGCTACATGAATGATACATCTATGTACATTATTAGGAGTTCTGCTCCACAGTGCTTCTGTGCATGCTGGGTTTGTCACTAACCGCCAAAAAGAAAATAATTCCATAGGGCAGATCTATGTACAGTGTTCTGTCCTTAGCTCACCTGGGTCCCATATCGTCAGTGTCTGTGTGGATGAGCACTTGTGCTCTGTAAAACTGGCGGCTGTTCTCTGACCTATGGTGGTGCTTTGTGACACTGACAGCTCTTCTGAGTGATTTGTATTGAACAGTAGAGTAAGTAGCTCAGTCTCTCCCGTGGGTGGAGACCAGGCTTGGGCACAAAGAAGGTCCCTTGTACCTTAACTAGATTCCTGTCTGCTTATCCACCTGAACATCTGAGAGAGGGCAGGTAGGTATTTTACACCTTAAAGATTTGTTTTCTGGAAATGCCAAAATTAAATGCAAACAAATCAAGATCAAAGTAAGAGACAGAAAGGAAGGGAAATGAGAGACAGGGATGGGTCATGTCTGAGGGGGAGGGGAAGGCTGGCCCAGCTGGGCCTACACTTTGGATTCATTTTCTAGGTTTGCCACGTCACCATTCCTCTCCGTTTGCTCTTCCGGGTTCTTCTCCTCCTCTTCCGTCTCCAGTTCTGCATGCTGGTTCAGTTTGCTGGACACAGACCAGCTCAGGGGCAGTTCTGCCCTGTTGGCCAGCTCGGCCAGCTCTTTGGCACTGAGGGACGGGGTGCTGGTCTCATAGGTCTCATGGAAGCTGTTGTAGTCCACTTCGTAGAATCCGTCTTCCAGCGTGAGGACTGGGGTGAACCGGTAACCCCACAGGATCTCACTGGTGACGTAGGAGCTCCGAGCCTGGCATGTCATTCCTGTAGAGAGGAGAAAACCGGCTTTAGGATGCGTGCTTAGGCTTCCCAAGGCCAAGGGGACTTGGGGACTTGAGCTGAGCAGGGCTATAATGTGCAGGCATTTCTGCTCTCCTGTGGCCTGCACGAGAGGGTGACAGCGTGGAGCTGTCTGTCACATTGAAGACACATGCCATGAGATTCCAGGACTTCCTGAAACTCATTTCACCCCAATCCCATGTATGACTGACTCCATAAAGTTGTCACTTGACTGCCTTACACACGCTCACATAGACGTTAATAAACTCTTAACTTCTTAAAGTGCAGAGAGTAAGTGACGAGAGTGTTCAGCCACAAAAGGGATGTCTATCTCACACTCCCTCTCTCCAACGCTCAGAGACTACTTCAGAAGAGGTGGCAGAATGATTGCAAGAGCCCAAGGTTCAGGGACAACTGGGACAGAATCTCCTGGACATGAGAGGACGGTCACAGCAGCCTGGCTGCCTGCACACTATCGAGGTTAGCATCCTAGCACAGAGTCGGAGGGGCTCGTGAGCTTTCACCCTGACTGAGGGGTCAGGGACAGTTGATGGCCTGGGTGAAGGAGCTGGTTTTCCTCGGGGGTGGCTCCTGGTGGGCTGATCACACTCTGGTGGTGCCCACAACCAGAAGTAGTGGACAGCATAAACCGAGTTGGCAAAGAAGAAGAGGACATGAATTGGTGGCAGGTGGGAAGGATCTGGGAGGAGCTAAGGGGAGGAGTTGGTGCTGAGGATGATCAGAACACACTGTTTGGCATTCTGAAAGAATGAATAAAAATGTTTCTTGTAAAATCAAACAAAACAATTACACAAGCCAAAGATATATAACAAGTCCCCAGATCTTAGCACAGCTGACTCCATGCTGGATGTATCACTCAGGTTATAAAACTCAGCACAGAACACAACACCAAACAAACAAACAAACAAACAAACAAACACCCCTAATCCACCAAAGTCCATAGTTCTGGGAAAGTCTCTAAATGTGCTAACCTTGCTTCTTAGCTTCTGAAGTTCTGGTTCTGGCTGTTTCTGTTACCTGAGGTGTGTCAACCCAGAGCATAGCTTTTGTGTTTAAAGGTTCACCCTGAGAAAGGCTCTGGGCTACACTGGGATTCCCAACACCCATGTACTCATCAGCCAGCTAGTGCTTCCTATTGGCTAAAACCCATGTCTTCTCTGGTGGAGAGTCCACAACAGGCAGTGAGAAGATGGTTTTCAAAACATTGAGAGAAAGAGATTGTTAAGCAATAATTCTATACCCTGCAAAACTAACCTTCATAAGATGAAGGTGAAATGATGACATTCAGTGAACAGAAATGGAGAAGCGTCATTGCTAGCAGTTCTGCACTGCTTGGAGTTGGGAAGGGAGTCCTTCAGGGAAACAACAGGACTCTGGGTGATAACTTAAATCCATGTGAGGAAATAGACACTGGTAGATAGGACTATGAAGTAAAATGCATTTTTTTCTTCAGTATAATTTTGTGCTGACTACATTCTATGATCACAATTCTGTTTCATTATATAGTAAACCATAGTTTATTTGTCCAGTGGAACAAAGTAAGTCAAAAGTGTATGGTGTGTGCCATCCTCACAGCCTGGGAAGGCCTGGTTCCTGCTCCTGTTCCACATGTGCCCAGACCCAGGCACCTTCATAGGCATTCTTGGTTACCGTTGAATTTGGAACACCCAGGTCTCTGAAACCACAAGTCAACAGAGGAGCTCTTTATACCTGATCGGAAGCCAGCGAAGATGGGAAAACAACAAAAACAGAACCAAGCTTTCAGTCAGCAGAGGCAGGCAATATCAGACATACAGCCCACAAAGAGTTCATACATGTCCATATGCATGTAAACAGTAACAGCTGAAGAGGTGAGACTTTGGGGGGGGGCAGGGTAGGCACTGAGGGGAGAGGGAAGGGCTGGGGTTGTGTAATACCACATTCTCCACCTTAGTTTTTGAGACAGGGCCTCCCATTGACCCTGGAGCTCACCAGTTTGGCTAGACAGTCTGTCCAGCAAGCCCTCCTGTGTGTGCTTCCCCGACACTGGGATGACAGGCTCACACTGCCATGCCCAGCTTTTCTGTAGTTGTTTTTTTTCTACAGGGTCTGGGGACTGAATTGAGCCCTCATGCTTGTGCAGGAAGTGCTGTGCTGACTGGACCTTCTTCCCAGGTTCATTTTTCTAAAACTTACTGAACCTTATACTTTCTTCCTGGGAACGTCTCTGAGTCCCCACCGGGTTTCCTGAGTGTTGCAGAGAAGCACATGGAAACAGCTGGTCTTTTGGTATGCACTCTGTTCCTAGAGGAAACCACAAGCGATAAGATGTGCAAGACCCACTGCCTCCAGGAGCCGGGAAAGACACTGTACGCGAAGGCGCCTGTAGAAAAACACTGGAGCAGACCTGTGAGATGTGAATTAGCAGGCAAGGCCCTATTTTTAGATTCAGTGACAGGTTACAGTGGGAGAGTCTGTGTGCAGAATAGCGACATGATGAAAGCCACCCTGAGGGAGCCCCTTGGGGCACAGTGGGAAGCGGCAGCAGCGGGCAAGTGTCGCATCAAATCTGCCTAGAGTAAGAGCGCAGTAAAATAAAGCACCCACCCCTGAACACTGTGAAGTAGATTTACATTGCTGGCATTCCAAAGCGAAGAGGGGCTGCATTTCAGACCCTTCCCATTTCACCTCAGAGATCAGGCTACCTGACAGGCGTTTCCCTTCCCTTCCTACCCCTGCTCATCGAAGGAAGAGCTGCGCTCAGCCAGCCCTGTCCACAGCAAGGCCGCGCTGGAGTCTCAGCCCTGGGATGCCGGCCGTGAATGGCGTTGGTGACTTACTGAGCCCACCGTCAGGTGGCAGCAGGGCAGAGTGCTCCAGTGTAACACGAGGCTGTGAACTTAGCCGGACCTGGTGGTGAAAATCCAGCCGCCCTGCTTCATGCTCACGGCCCCTCTGCTGAGCGCCACGCTTCCCCTAACACTGAGCTGGGGGGTCCACTGTGGCTGCCTCATAACTGCAGAAACAAATCGAAATGTATGTCCTAAAAGCGAGCCAAGGAGACACATTTCACACCTGCACTCTTCATAATTAAATACTGACTCTAGTAAGAAACGCCAGTTTTCCGGGCCCTGTGTGCCAGGGACTGGACGCTGTGAACCGATGTTCTCTGACCCCGCATCTGGGCTGAAGGTGCTAAGGAATGATTGACTGGCCAGAACTAAATGATCACGGACACTTGGAACGTTGCCAGAACTGCATGATGGGGGAGAGTTGGAATGTTGCATATTAAAAGCCCGAGTCTAGCTCAGGCTGTCTTGGACCCCGTCATAGCCAATTATTGCCAGCCTCTATTGACCTAACAACTTCGTGGCTATTGGGTAAAACTTTTGGAAGCAGACTGCCAGCTTCTACCAACTCAAAAGCTCAGGGCATTATCAGATGGCGTCTGGGGACTGCGGGGGGGGGTTCCCTGCATTGCTGGTCCCCACTAGGGTGCTTGGTTGCTGCTTTGGTTTACCATCTTCCATTCTTTAAAGTTCCTATAGCCACCTCTGTGGTGGCACATGCCAGTCAAGGAAACTTGAATCCAGATTCCCAGGCCCTGGCCACTCAGGATAAACTATGGCTTTCTTCTTTGGAGATGAAAATGTTTCGTATGCATCATCTCAGCCTTGCAACAGCCCCCTGAGTGGATGCTTCAGCCATCTCTAGCCTACAGGTGAGAAGACTAAAAGGAAAGAGGATAAGGAACGCTGAACAGTGGGCTCAGTGGTTTGATTCTAAATGTCATGCCTTGAAACCCTGAGTATATACAGAGATTGCGTCTCATAGGACTGGTACGATACTCTGATTACCTCTTCAGTAGAGGAAAGGGACCAGCCATGACAGCACATGTCTGTAATCCTAACACCTCAGAGGTGGGAGGGAGGAGCATCGGGAGTTCATTGGGGCCCAGCAGCGAATTCTAGGCCAGCCTGGGATACATGAAAGAAGATCCTGTTTTATAAACAGAGAAAAAAGGGGGACCCAGACACCGGAATGCGGGCATCCTCGTCCTGTGCCAGGCCTATAGAGAAGCAGCCGTGTGGGGACCTACCCAGAGAAGCATTGTCCACAAGCCAGAGCCCAGACTCCCAGCCTCCACGCTGAGGAGAGCAGGCTGTGGGAGTGCCCCGGGCTGCGGCTTTGCTCTGGCCACCTGCCCATTACAGTGAGGGCACGTGTTCTTATGTGGAAGCTGGGCTCCAGAGCCTGCGGTATTTCCATGAGATTCCTTTATTTCTGAAGATAGGGACGGTCCACGTAACTCTTACAGCATCCTGCACTTCAAGGCTTGTAATGTAGTTACCAGAGTAATGTATATTCTATGAAATAAAGCAGGGTGCAGCTACGTTGTTCAGGAAGGCAGTCTGGGTGATGACTTCGCAGCCAAGCGCCCCTGCCCTCTGTCTGCTCCAGGGTGCTTCTCTCGTCTTCCTGTTTTTCTCTATCAGATGCCCGGTAGGCCTCGCCACGTGCTAGGCCTCGCCATGTGCTAGGCCTCGCCACGCTTCCCTTGTCTTCCACACAAGTTCTGCATCTTCTACGGAGGTTGGGGTACTCGCTACCATCTTCAGGAAACTGCTTGGAAATATCAAAGCAGTATTTGTTTGTTGTTGTACTGCTGTGCGTGCATGTCCAGAGGTCGATGGCAGGTGGCTTCTTTGGTTGCCTCTCCTTATTACTGAGGCAGGGTCTCAGGCCACCCAGACATTTGGCTAGTCTGTCTAGGCAGCCTGCCCTGGGCACGACTTTTCACTGACTTCCAGGTTCTGGGGCTGTAGGCTGGCTATCATGTCCTCCTGGCTTTTTCTAAGTGTTGGGGATCTGAGCGCTGGTCTTCACATTTGCATGGTAAATGGTACGATGGCACTGTTTCCTTAGCTTCTTTCCGGATGTGTTTTTAATTTGTATGTAGGAAGGCTCCTGATTTTCGCGTCTTG